ACCAGCAGATAGCATAAAGGTTACATTACTGGACTCCCACATAGCTGACCATGGTTCAAATCCCACCTTGAAACTCATGCTGGGCACATGTGCATACATGTCCAAAATCCCAAGAGGAGAATGGAAGAGAAGGGATTGTGGCATGACCATCCCTCCTGGAGCATGATTTCTCTCTTTTTGTCTCTGTCTCTCTCTGTCTTTCTGGCAAGTACATGTGCCCTATAGCAAAAATCTCTCTCTAAAAAAAAAAGCATGATGCACAATCTCAGACGCAGGAAATGTTAACACTGGAAGGGCTTCCGAGTTCAGTGGAACAATTTCTTTAGCTATAGAAGAAAAGACTTTGGCTCAGAGTGGGAAAACAACTTGCTCGATGTCCTGTGTTGGTTATTAGAAGCACCACGTCTAGCAGAGACCAGGTGGGCCAGTAGCCGTGGACTGTAACCAGATGTTGCCAGAAGCTCAAGGCGGGTCTTATCCCTAACTGTGGCAGGTAGAGATTTCCTGGGCATTTCACCTTTTGGGTCTCAGAAACCAATCAATTTGTCTTTAAGAAAAAAAGCATCAATGGGGTGAAGAAGGGAGGAGATGACTTCTAAACATTTTTTTGTCTTCAACATTTATGACTGATTTTTTTTATCACATATGTAATGACCAGTGCCATCCAACTCAAAGTGAACTTTATGAGGAAAATGAGAGGTCTTAGGAGCACCTGGTAAATGGTTGTCTTCTTTTTAAAGCTTATCCAAGAAGCCTTACAGAGGAACAGTCTGATAGGCTTCCATTTAGTATTTTTCTTTTTTTGGAGAAATTTTTGCTATAGGACGTGTGTGCTTGCTAGAAGGAGAGACAGAGAGACAGAGAGACAGAAAGTGAGAAATCACCCCTCCCCAGGGGGGATGGCCATGCCGCAATCCCTTCTTCTCCATTCTCCTCTCGGGATCTTGGGCATGACCGCACACACACACCCACACACACACACACACACACACGCCTGGCATAAATTTAAGTTACTGGGTCCGGGACTCAAACTGTGGTCGGCTATATGGGAGTCCAGTGACATAGCCATTATGCCAACTGCTGGTCCCTCCATTCAGTATTTTGACCATTGGTAATGTCTACTCCCAGGGCAATTCCAAAAGATAACATTCTGGCTAAATAACTAAATAAAGACAAATGCCTACCAGGCCTTGGAGCCACGCCAACGCAGTGCACATTGAAGAAAAACAATAGTTTCTCAAACTCTGGAGAGGTTTGAAGTCCTGAAAGGTTAAATAAATCCCCGAAGCATAGAGCAAAGCTTCACTGCTCATGCTCTAGAAAAATATTCCTCTGTGGCGTGAGCCCACCAAATGTGTTGGCTAAACGAACAGCCTCCTGGCCACCGAACTGGCAGGCAAAGAGCTCACTGAAGAACTGGGTTGCTTTCTTGTAGCTGCGAGGGCCAAGATATTCCTATATCCTTGGGAAAATAGTGGCATGGATGAAGGATCTCACGTGGGCAAGCTCCTTGCTCTGAAGGTAAAGAAATGGGGCCCAGAGAGCGCATTAGTTGCTGGGGGTCCTACAGCAGGGGCAGTTTTAGAACCCTAGCATCATTCTGACACCCCATACCTAGGCAGCCTACCACAGGGCTTAGCACATAGTAAGCACTCAATAAATGTTTGCAGAAGGAGTGAGTAAATGACTGGGTAAACTCAACAACCAGCCTCTCTGAATGCCTCGATCTCCCTGGGACGGTTTTAGGTTCTGATGCTGAACCAGGTGGATGGACTAATCCTTGTTCTCATAGAACTCACGCGTGCGCATGTGTGTGTGTGTGTGTGTGTGTGTGGTAGGATGAAGGAGTTGTAGTTGGGAGAAGAGAAATAATCATAGTAACTACTATTTAATGAGCACTCACTATGACCCAGATACTGTCCTAAGCCCCGTGTATGTATCAGTTCCTTTAGGCCTCTCGATGACATGTGAGAGAGCTGTTCTTAGGCCCCCGTCTTACAGGTACGAAACCAAAGCACAGAGGAGTTAGCTATCGGGGCGTTGAAAAAGTCATGGTGCATTTTTGTGTAGAAAAACTGAAAAATACGTCATGACTTTTCTGACAACCCAATAGCTGACCCAAAGCCATGCAGCTGTAAAGGGCAGAGCCAGGATTCAAAGTCAGGAAGGCCGGATCCAGAGTCTTAGTTCTTAAACTCTTATCCAAAGCACAACAAGAGAAATGAGTGATTTTTGAATGGATAAATAAAAAATGAATAAGCAAATGAATGAACATGATTCTTTTTTTTCCTTTAAATTGATTTTTTACATTAATTCACTATACATCATATGATTCTTCATTTGTAAATATTTCACTGGAAAACAAACACCTCTCACACACTTGGTTTTCGGTAATTTGTTTGTAAATAATTATAAGAAATTTTAGCCATGGAACTCTTTTAAAATCTCTTGTTTTGTTTCAGTTTATGCTATTGGGCATGTGCTCACCAGAGAGAGAGACAGAGAGAGAGAGGGAAAGTGAGAAATCACCCCCTGGAAAGATAACTACATTGCATTCCCTTTCCTCCAGTCTCCTCTCAGGATTTTGGGCACATACACACACACACACACACGCACACACACACAAACACACACACACACCTGGCATGTTTTTCAAACCTCTGGGTCCAAGATTCAAACTGTGGAGTCAGCCATGTGGGATCCAGCACCTTAATCTCCATAACACCAGCTGGCCCACTAAATATTAATTGGACAAAATGTAGATACATGTAATAAGCTTTCTTTAAGTTTATATGTGCAAAGTTCTTGCTCCTCGTGACAGTTTCCAGGTTAGAAATCTAAACCTTGAAAGCACCTGGTATTTGGGCAGCCTTACCACGTGCCAGGTCCTAAATGGTTTTAGCCTCTTATCTCATTTAGTGCTCATGGTCTCCCAGGAAGCAGGTACTATTTTCATCCTAACTTTACAGAGAAGACAACTGAGGCACCGCAACTTAATGACTTTTCTCGATATCATGGTGTTAATACACGGTGAAGCTGGGATTCGAACAAGGTAAGCCAGTTCTAGAAACCGGGCAGCCTCCTCTGACAGCTTCTGATTCTTACAGCTGTGGTTTTCAATCTCACTGCACATCAGCTTCACTGGGGAGCTTGCAAACTTGCTGAGGCCTGGGCCCCACCCCAATTATATTAAAATCTCCAGGACTGCTACTCCAATACTGGGTTCTTTTACATAATTTATTTATTTCCTTAAATATGCCAAAAAATGCATAGATTTATGGTGTACATGTTTTTTCTTTCTTTCTTTTTTTTAATGGTGTACATGTTTTGATGTATGCATACATTGTGGAATGACTAAACCAAGCTATTTAACATATATATTACCTAGCATACTTTTGGGGGGAGGGTGGAAAAAACACTAAAACTCAGTCTAAGCAATTTTTTTCCTTTTTTTTTTGAGAGGTTTTTGCTATAGGGCGCGTGCGCTCGCCAGACAGACAGAGAGAGACATAGAGACAGAAAGCGAGAAATCACCCTCCAGGGGGATGGTCACGCCACAATCCCTTCTCCTCCATTCTCCTCTCTGGATCTTGGGCACGCACGCACACGCGCCCAGCGTGAGTTTTAAGCCACCCGGTCTGGGACGCGAATTGCGGTCGACTACGTGGGAGTCCAGCGACATAGCCATTACACAAACTGCTGGTTCCCTAAGCAATTTTCAAATACACAATATGTTACTATTTTTTGAAGAATTATTTATTTAATTTTATTTATTCATTCATGTATTTTAATTTGACCAGAGGGAGACACAGGTCAGGGACCCGAAACATGGTTGGCGTGTGAGAGTATTCAGCGCCTTAACCACCACGCCACCTGCTGGTCCCCACAATACGTTGCTATTAATTGCACTCGTGATGTACAATGTGGTGTACAATAGAGCTCATGAACTTATTCCTCCTAACTGCAATTTTATGTCCTTCGGTTACTGGTATCTTTGAACAGCTCCCTTTACAGTTTTGATGCAGGATGAGAGCCCAAGAACATTGATTTGAGAACTGGACGTACCTGACTCCAAGCCCCTCTCTATTTTGAGCTTTCTATCCGAAGGTATCTCATCACAACCTGTACCCTCCCAATGACACATGTTCTGAGGCAGTCAGTGGTTGCCTCTAGGTCAGGATGAACATACTGGCTCCCTTCCAGAAGTGTCTATGGAGTTCTGGAGACTTAGGCTTTTCTGAACTGCTGGGTCCTCTTAGTGTATCTTGAGGGAGAAATGAACAGAAGCAAGTATGTTATATTCCGATCACTCTTCCTTAAGAATGACTCTTCTTGGGACCAGCAGGTGGCGGGGTGGTTGGGCTACTGAACTCCCAAATGGCCAACTACGGATTAAGTCCTGGACCTAGCAGCTTGCTTTCTAACTTTCTGTCTTTCTCTCTGTCTCTTTCTGCTGAACACATGTGCCCTCTAGCAAATTTAATTATCATAATTAAAATTAAATTAAATTAATAATTTTTAAAAAAGAATGATTCTCCTTGCCACCAGCTGGTGGCATGGAAGTTAAGGTACCAATCACGGTTCGAGTCCTGGACCCAATGGCTTGATAATCACATCAGTGTGTGTGCATGCATGCCCAAAATCCTGAGAAGAAAACAAAGGAGAAGGGATTGCAGCTTGGCCATCCCCTCGGAGGGTGGTTTCTCACTTTCTCACTCTCTGGCAAGGGTATGTGCCCTATGGCAAAATAATTTTCCCTTTTCACACCAAGAATGGTGGCAATAGTCTTCACCCCTGAGGGTTGAGGACAGCACGGTCAACAGGACCCCTCTTCTCCCTGAATTCTAAGCTAGTTGAGACAAAGGAGCCAGGCAGATGGAGATTGAAATGTTGTCTTTGTTAGAGACAGAAGTATTGGAGAATCCAGACGAGGTGCGAGACATCAGTGAGCCTCTGTATCCTACACCCCAGAGTTAGTTGCTGAGCAGAAGTTTAGCTGGTGGGCAGAGGTACGCGGACTCGGAAGAGGGATGCCGTGGTGCTGTAGCATATGTTCGTAAGACACTCTAATCATAAAGGATCGTTCCTAAAACAGAAACCACACCATGACCACTTTATTCAGTGCGGGCGCCATGCTTGATTATTACTAAGGCTATCACTACAACAGACTGGGAAAGTCGTTTACAGGGCTCTCTCAATTTACATGTCTCCACTGTGTGCCACATTTCCCCACCCCGATCCTCCAGAAAAGTGAACGAGAAGAGATTTTATTGTATTTCCATCTTTTATACTGTACTTGTGGGCGCCATATGCAAGACACACGTGAAAGGCATAGCTACAGCACGCCCCACTGGGCTTTGCAAGCCATTTACATTAGGTTTTCCTGTTACAGTGGCGGCAGGCATGTAAAATGTTTATTACGGTTATATTGCCGTTGCTTTCACTCTACACATACCTGCTGCTGAGCATCTGGTCTGTGTTGACTAGAATGGGAGCATGCCGATGTTTTCTCTGGAACTCCAGTTTTTTTTTTTTTTACTTTCATACTCCCTGGCTGCCTCTGTCCTTCTCTGGCCATCTCTGTCCTTCCCTGGCTAGTCCCAGTGTCAGGCAGAGTAACCTTGGTAAGAGCTGAACAAAAACAGTCATGGCAAGCTCTGCTTTTTCTTTAAACAACCAAATAATGAAATTAGGCTTTCCAATATCTAGGTACTCACCTCTCAAGTTTTCCCCAGGTTTACTAAGAAGATTGTAATTGGGTGCCAGCAGGTGGCATAGTGGTGCTGGACTCCCTCCCACATGACTGATGGCAGTCTGAGTCCCAGACACAGTGGCTTGAAATTAATGCTGGGGGGCATGTGCGTGTGTGCCCAAAATCCCAGGAGAAGAAGGGATTGCAGCATGGCCATCCCCCCGGGGGATGATTTCTCACTTTCCCTCTCATTGTCTCTCTCAGGTGAGTATATGCACCTTTTGGCAAAAACTTTAAAAGAGGAAGAAGATGGCAATTGTACTCCACATCAGCCCATCTCCTTCCACCCCAAGCCACTATATCATTGTCAGTCCCGTCGCAGTGATCGTAACTGCAAGTCATTTCTCTGATGACCAGTCCCTCACTTAGGTAAGTGTTGCCCCCAGAAACCATAAGCAGAGGTCTCTAAATATTAGACTAACTAACAAAATAAAAGTTAAATACAGTAATGGGTGATCATACGTTTAGGACATTAGAAAGCTGTCGAGACTTAGACTGAGCTGGGTGGGAAGACTGGCCGTCACCAGCTCTGTCCACAGCAGCTGCCTTCTTGGTACTGTCCTGGAAAATGCAGACGAGATGTGCGGTGATGCAGAGGTTGGGCCCTGGAGTCATCGGACATGTGTGTGCACGTCAACTCTGCCATTTATCGGACCTGTGACTTTGGGCAACTTACAACACTGGGCTATGCCTCTCATTATTCATCTGCAAAAGAGGGATCTCCTACATAACACGATTGTGAAGATCAGTTATGATGTTTGTAAAGCACTCAGCAGAGTGCCCAGCCCAGAGAAGGTGTTCTCTAAGAGTTTCTGACATTAAGTGAGAAAGCTTTACAAAGCCACTGGTAAACTACTGTGCTCATACACTGAAGGGCCCAAGGGGTGGCTCTGGCGAGGGTAAGAGTGCGTTCTGTGGCAAAGTATGTAATGAACTTGGCTTTGAAGAAGGCCTAGAGTTGGACAGTGTGTGTGTGTGTGTGTGTGTGTGTGTGTGTGTGTGTGTGTGTAGGGTGCAGGAGAGGGGTGTGAGGAGGTGTTTAAAATTTTGAAAGTTTAGGAACCAGCAGATGGCGTAATGGTTATGTTTCTGGACTCCCATGTTGTCAACCATTGTTCAAGTCCCAAACTGGGCAGCTTAAACTCATGCCAGGCATGTGTGCATGCACGCCCAAGATTCTGAGAGGAGACTGGAGGAGAAGGGATTGTGGCATGGCCACCCTCCATGGAGGGTGATTTTTCGCTTTTTCTCTCTCTCTCTCTCTCAGTCTTTCTGGCGCGTACACACACCCTACAGCAAAATCTCCTCTTAAAAAGAAAAAAAATAGGTAAAGAGGCAGATATGTACATGGAATAATTGATGATAAATAAGTATAGCAACTTTTTGTGATGGAAGGAGAAGAGAAACAGGTAACAGGAAATGGGATAGTAGGAAAAATTGTGAAAGCCCTTCCAGATGGATGATTTTGGACAATCACCAGACAATGATGTACAAGTGAATGTTTCTGAGTAGTGAGAAGACATAATGAAAGAAAGATTATTCTGACAGTGATGGCAAAAAGGTACTTATCTCAGAGGGTTTTTAAAAAAAAAAATTATTCATTTTATGAGATGGAGAGAGAAAAACAGACAGCTTGATGAGGTTTCATCATGCCATGACATCCTCCTCAGCCTTCCAGCCACCCAGGATCACGGGTACATGCATGCTCAGTGTGTCTCTGGTCAACCCAGGATCTGAACAATGGTCTGCCATGTGGCACTAGCACTGAAGTGCCACGCCACACTGCCTGTGCACCGTAGCTGGGCCTCTTTGTTCTATATTGTCTGTGAACAAGATTAGCCAAACTTCACTGGGGTGAAGTTTGGGACCTTAACAATAATTTGTAAAAACTCACCTTTCCCAGTTTTTGTCCACAGCTTTATAAATCAGTCAACACTAAGACAGCTAACATACGTCTAGCTCTTTACAGTTAGTGTACTATTGAGCCGCCCATAAATAGTTGTCATCAAAAAATAAAATGCCAAGATGCTCTCTTGCCCTGGAAGTTGTCTAATAGAGCCACAACAATAAAGATAATTTAGAGTGGACAACTTCCGAATAGTGGGTCATATCCTTTTGGAATAATGTTTTACTCTAGAAGTTTCCCTGGGCCTAATGATGGCATAGTGGTTTAGGCAGCTAGATCCCACATGGCTGACTGTGAAGTTTGAGAGCTGGACCTGGCTGCTAGAAAAACATGCCAGGCACCTATGCATGCATGCCCAAAATCCAGAGAGGAGAATAATAGCTATCATTACCTATTGAGTTTTATTACTTTCCTTGTAAGGTCTTGAATCTAAAGGCTTGGTTATTGTCAAGAAGGAGCTAAGTTGGATGGTGAAAGATTTTAGTCTGCAGGTACTATTCTTTCTAGGACTCAGGAGTAGCAGGCAAGTGAGCTTTCAGAAGGTGGTCAAAGGCAATGCCTTGAATAGTTCTTCTTGTTTACTTCTTCTCTCAGTCCTCGCAGTAGCCTTGTGTGGTCAGTGATGTTGATCTCAATATGCTCATCTAATATGGAGAACACTGAGTCAGAGAGATGGATGACTTCACCAAGACCATACACCTAGTATATGGCAGCGTTGGGATTCACATCAGGTTGTCAGATCCCAGCTCTGGATTCTTCCCACTATCACAACAGAGCTGCTTCTAAAAGGTACATCAACCTGTTATTTAAAATAGGTGACTTGGACTTTAAATCAAAGCACTGTCGTGGCAGAGATGTTAAATTCCACTGACCTTCGGTTTTCCCATATGTAAAAAAATATGGGTGGTAGATTGATATAAAGAGTAGATGAAAGAAAGAACACAGTTCATTATGACGTTAGTCATATATACTAGGTCCTGAGTTTTCTGAAGATAATTTATTTATGCAAAAGGATTTGTTAAGGACCTGCTATGTACCAGATACTGTTCAAGATGCTGGAGACACAAAGGTAATTTTGTCTTACTCATCTTGGAATTTTTAATGCTGAACACAATGACAGGCAATTGCAGGAACCTAATAAATTTGGTATGAATGGAATGGATAAACATTGCCGGGTAAATGAACAAATTAAACATAGATAAGACAAAAGAATTTTTAACCTTGTACATAAAATGTGTATAAAAATGTGTTCATTCAACAAACATATTGAGTCCTACTATGTGCCCCATGCTGGATGCTGTGGAAGACACAAGAATAAACAGCATACATTTTCTGCTCCCCCAAACCAGAACAAAGTATTAAGAACATGGGACTTGGAGTCAGAATGTCTAAATCTTCCATCTTCATTCTACTACGTACTAGCTCAGTAACTTTGAAAATGTTTCTGTGCCTCAGTTTTCCCATCTATAAAGTGAGGATAATAATACTGACCTTTCATGATTGGACCAGTTGGGACTTAGAGCCAGTGTAATGAGTAGGAACTGAAAGTCTTCCAGATTCACAGTAGAAAAATTTATAAACAGACCTTTTTTTCAAAATGCACCAATTTAATGTTTTTCACAGGTGTTACTGTAAATGCCTTGTACCTGTTCATGGATTATTTTATTCTAAGCTATTCAGTCAAATGTGTATCATCCAAATTAAAATGAAGACTTTTATGTTGGCAGCAAAAAAAAAAAAAAAAAAGCATTTGTAAAAGTACTTTGCACATTGCTATTTTATTCTTTCATTATTATGTAAATATCCCCCAAACATTTACTACTAGTGATAGCAGTCTGAATGAATTGGGGTGCCTAGAAAATTGCTTGAATTCCCTGCTTTCCCCTGGCACTGGAGACTTGGCTGGAGGTTAGTAGTGCCAGGGGGAACGCAATTGTTGCCATCTATTGCTTTCTTCTTCCTTGGAATCCACTCAAGGCAATCATAGAAGCAGTTGCCTGAAAGGTTTGATAAGTAAAAGGAGGTGAGCTAGCTAATCAAACACAAAGGACCAGCAGCAAGCTTAAGTCCTCGTGTCTAGTGGTAACTAATCAACTGTAAGTTGGTTGTTTGCTTTAAAGGACTACAGTATTTCCATGCTTTTTGCCTTTGTGATTTGTGGTTAAGTAAAGCAAACGAGTGCTTATCAGTCATCTTCTGTATACTGGACTGAAGAAGACTCATTTGAGTAAGCTCAATCCAGGCCTTCAAGTATCACACATGCACTAGGTGTCCCCAGAGAAATAGCACTCAGAAGATATGTACGTAGGCAAGAGGAGATTAACTATGGGATTGGGCTCACTCAGTTACGGATAGTGAGAAATTTCACGATTTGCTATCTGCAAGCTGGAGAACCGGAAAAGCTAGTGGTGTGATTCAGTCCAAGTTCCAAAAGCAGAGAACCCAAGCGCCGAAGGTAGAAGACCCATACTGAGTCTGAAGTCCTGAAAACCGGGAGCTCTGATGAAGTCTGAGGGCCGGAAAAGATGCCCCTGCTCAAAACGATCAAGAGACAAATCACCCTTCTTCTGCATTAGGCTCCTAATGGGCCGGATAATGCCCACCCACCCTAGTTGTGGAGGGCAATGTCCTGAGCCCACCAATTCAAATGCCAATCTCTTCCAGAAACACCCTCACAGATATACCCAGAAACAAGGCTTTACTAGATATCTGGGTATCCTTTAGCCCAGTTAACTAAACACACAAAATGAACTGTCACATGTGACATGCGTATGAATAATGATAATACAGTCTGAACACTTCAGAAGTATGAGCAAATCTTCATAGAAAAAAGAGCTGAGACCGACAAGCTTTGCTGTGAAAAGCAGAGGTTTTTCAGAGGAGGTGATACCCGAAAGGACCCGACAGCACATGCAAAGACAAAGAGAAAGAGGGAGAGAGACCAAGAATTCACAGCATATTTCGAGAGCGGAG